AACACGCCTTGCCTGGCTGTTCTTTACAAGTTTGAAATATGAGAGACTTGTTCAGAAGATTTGGAGAGGACGGATTGATGTCTGGTCCCTCTCAGTCCCAAGAGCGAACTCCCACCAAAACAAAGAGCAAAAACAAAAGCCTCCCCCCACCAAGATTTGAAAGTATCTTGTCCCCTTATTGGTCCTTTGGGTCAGGTGTCAGCCAGGTTACCTGAGCTTCTTAACCCTTTACAGGTAAAAGGATTTGGGAGTCTCTGGCCAGGAGGGATTTTATAGTATTGTACACAGGAGGGCTGTTGCCCTTCCCTTTATAGTTATGACAACTCCCAACACCGTGTGATGATAAAATATTAAAAGGTGTCTGCGTAAGGTATCACATGTAAACTGGTAACACACTGGTCCCAAAAATCACTGTGTGATGTATGTAGAGGTTGTATATAAAGAATGGTGTGTGTGTGCTAGAAACACATTCTTCAAATGTGTTTTGGAGGCAGTGTATACAGCAAATCTGCCCTAGCCAAAGGAATGTAGATTTCACTGTCTGACTGGCTTGAGACTGGCTTAAAGGCAGAGACCAATGAAAGTACATTTACTTAGAAGGTAAACAAAGCAATCAAGTGGAGGAGGAAACAGTTTAGTGAGCAGAGTCTGCATGCCCAGGAAGTCTTCCTGGCGCGCGAGACAAAGACAATGAACAATAGAAAATATAAAGGGAACAAAAAGACATTCTAGTTATCCAACAGCAACCTCTGAGCCTCTGAATGGTGGATCTTCTTGGCCTGAAGAGCAGGAGCTGCTGGTAACTTGCTGTAAGTGACAAACCGTTTTAAGCAAAGGTATAACTTTTAAGGAATTACATTTTAGGCTCTAGAAAAGATGTTATTTTTGTAACCCTTTTTTCTCTCTTTTATTCTTGCCTGCTATCAATTAAATCTCTGTTCTTTATTAATAAACTTATTCTTAGTTTTACTCTAAGCTATCTTAGTGCTGTTATATTAAATATAGAGAGACTCCTTAGCTAACCTAGCAGACTGGTGTGTACACCGTCTCTTTCAGGGCAGCAAACGTAATAATTTCTGAGTATCTAGTGAGAGGGACTGGAAACTACAGACAGAAGTCTCTGAGGAATTCAGTTACTGGGGTGCACTATCTGCAAAGCAAGGTTAAGACTGGCAGAGTCTCAAGGAGCTTGTGGGTGAAGAGGACAGACTGGTGTGGCAGGGAGCTGACACAGTCTAATCCCCCATAGACCAGGGTTCTATTCCTGGTTTTGCCACGGTCCTGCTGTGACACCTTGGGCAAGTCATGCTCAATGTCTCTGTTTCCCTCTCAGCATTTGCCTGTCTTGTCTATTTAGATTGTAAACTCTTACTCTGTGTGTGTGTGTGTATACCAAGCCTAGTACAATGGGGCCCTGAGTTTCACTGGGGCCTTTAGGTATTACTGTAACACCAATAATTAATAATGAGATCTGGATAAGAGACTTTGATGTTTGTCATTATTGAATATTGGCAAGTTATCACTGTGAGCCAGATCCTCAGTGGGTGTAAATCACTATAGCTCCCTTGGCTGATTGGCACCTGCTGAGGATCTGCTGTGTATCTTGAACAATGCGCCCACGTCCCCTGAGCCCCATGGGATCAGATTTTCACTTCACCCAATCTAACTAGATGACCGCACTTTTCCATCCAAAAAAAAAGGGGGGGGGCGGCTCTTTGATGGCATCTTCACTGCCAACCAGCAAAAGGTACAGCCTGTTACTGTTGCTGGGTTGCCTTTTTAGTATTTCACTCTCCCTGCCCTGGGCCAGATCCCCTGCTGATTAAATACATGGGACCCTTGGGAGGTGTCAAAGTGGGAGATGTCAGACTTGCCAGAATCTTGTTGTGCATTGAGGGGGGGCAGGGGTGGGGAGGAAGTGGACATTCAACTTAGGCTCTAATCAACCCTGGGTGAGACAGAGTCACCACATACTCTCTACTCCAAAACCTCTGCCACTGCTCAAGGCCTCCTGGGAATTTCCCTCTCACACACACAGATGTTTCTATCAAACCTCAGGTAAGGACTTTTCAGAGGATCTTGCAGAACTAAACTCAACTGTTCTGATAAAAGAAGCAGTAAAAGCACACAAGAGGTCCTCCTCTCTGTTTATTTTCAAAGAACAGGCAGAGAACAGCTGCAGGTTTATGCAGCACAATGATTCATGGAAGGGTGGTAGCCAATGAATCACAGAGCAATCACTGCTGTCTTTCGTTTGATCTATCCCTCCTAGCCAGTACAGGCTGCTCCTGCATGCTTGGTGACTAGCCAAGGAAACTATTCATGAAACACGTGTTTGTTTCTGGACCTTCCCTTTTGTGTGTAATGCATTTTATTTTCCTTGTATCACACAGAGTAGACTAGCTCTCTGCGAGAGGCTATTCCAGACTGCTGTGTAGGAAGCAACACCTGTCTTCAGGGAAATAGACAAAGGAAAGATATATCTGAATTGAACCTCTGGCCCAAGCAGCTAAGAAGCTGATCCTGAGTGATGGTGGGCATCCATAAGTGCATCATCGCTGGGAAAGCCCTGGAGCGATGTGGAGCATTAAAATGATCCTTTGGGGCCTGGTTTTCAATAGAGTTTGGCATGCTGGGTGCTGAGCTCCTCCGACAATATGGCTGTAAGTAACACAGTGGGAGCAGAGCACTTTTGAAAATAACCAACTGTGGCACTTGAAAATCCAGTCCTAAACATGGTACTGTAGCATCCGTTACCCTGTGCTGAGGCATCTGCGTCTCAAGGTCTAGTTATGGGGTCCCACCTCAGCCCACTGGATTTTGTTAGCTGATCTATGTATGTGCACATGCCAAAGCTATGAAAACACATGCACCCACATTCAAATAGGTTATAGGCACTTGTTTAGTCACACACACACACAAAGTGGCTCAATGCATCTGCCTCTACTTGCCCAGTAACAGGAGTCAATTAGACAGCAAAGAAAGAAAGCCAGTCCTGAAGACTTTTCTGCATAACCTGCCCTGAAGCTATGTCTAATGGATGGGGAGGTAAGGCACTGTTTCTTAACCTAAGTAAATTAAATAACTCCTAGGCCATAAAAGGCAACACTTAATAGCAACTAAGAGGAGATTAGTGTCCAGGGTGAGCCCAATGATGTGTCTTTATTGTCTCCCCAGTTTATACAAGTCAGACAAAAAATAAGAGTATTTAGCCGTTCAACCTTTTGGTGGCACCCATGGCCATAGTAGCTAAGTGCTGGACAGATGCAGTGTAGCTGTACTGTAAGGTCCATAGTGGACTTCATAGCCCATCTTCGCCCACATACGTAATGCACAAGATAGGAGTGTCTAGTCCTCAGGTGAGACTAAGTTCTAGTTCTGGTTTTGCCAACCACTTGCTGTGCTTGGATAAATCACTGAAGGCCTAATTTTCAGAGAAGTTGAAGGGCAATTACAGGTGCTCAGCACTTCTGAAAATCCAGCCCTTAACCTCTCTGTGCCAAATGAAAATCCCACTAGCACTTCCCCTTGATCTACCAACTAGGATTTATTTTAAAAAATGGATCTTGCTGCTTATCACCTCTGCCCTTGGGTGCCTTATGGCACAGAAAACAGCTATGAACCATTAAATACAGCCTTCCCGCCAGCTGCTTGTGAAGTGCTCTGCAATGCATAAATGCTAAATGCTATTATCTGCCTAAAGCAGACTTTCAAGGGGGAACAAAAACATGGCTACCACTGACCTCTCAGGGCGAGTAAAAGTTGGAGCACAAATGAGACCTCTCAGTTCTCCACAGTGACGTCTTCCTCTTTCACCTGCTCTCGTCTTCAACGGGATACAGGAAAGAGAACAACTGAAAAAGAAGGAAGACAGCCCTCAGCAAAAAATTATTCCCTTTCCCTATATTAAAAAGCTAATAGCTAGTCTTTCCATCAAACCTTCATTCTGTAACATCAGAGCGTCTGCTCACAAAGTATTCTGCACGCGTGTTTGTTGGGAGGAGGAAAGAGGGAGGCCCCTGTTGCAGCTCTGGGAGATATGATGGTAGGCCTCTAGTGCTGGAAGCTGCCAGAAAGGGGCAGCCAGTCATTGGGTTTATAGTCACATGTCTGTAATATCATGTAAACCCAGCTATTGTTTCTGTCAAGGCTGCCTAAACCACAGCACAGGTGCACTCTGGCAACACAAAGGAGCCTAAAAAGGGGTGGAAATGGTTCCCTGAGAAAGCCCATGGAGAATATGCCCTGCACAGGAAGACACCCCACCCAGTGTAGAGCTGGCATAAGGACTCCAAGCCAGCTCTGCTGCCAGCCCCTGGCATAGGGGGCATGTCAGGATTGGGATAGGGGTATGGAGTGGGCGGAAGTGGGCAAGCAGGGGTAGGAAGGGGGCACATGGCCACAGCACACAGCTCTACAGTTATTCACCAATTGCCAGAACTCATAAGGAGCTCCAGAAAGCAACACAGATAGAACAGTTCTGAGGCGGACACCTGGAGCCAGGAAGGGCCCCTGGCTGCTCCAAAACATGCGGAGCACAACAGTGGTTTAAAGTAACCTTTTCTCAACTCCAGCTCTGGAGTCTTCACTATGAAACCCTACGGGACTTTCGCTGTGAAGTCAAATGGGTAGCCAGCTCCAACTTTTCTTTCTTTTTCTTTTCTTTTTTTGGAAGGGGAGAAATGAGGAGGAGTTTAGACAACTTGCCTGTTCTCCAGAAAGAGCACTGCATGGGGAGACTTGAAGTCTCCATGGGCTGCATCTTTACAGAAAGACTAAGAATGGCTACTGTGAATTACAGCCCAAATCAGGCTCTTGATAAGTTGCGTTTGGCAAGGCTTGGGAATCCTTTGTCACAAACTGCAGGACATGAAAGGCGAACAGGAGGCAGGAATTCACCTAAAGCCACTTATTTATATTGCAGACCAGGACCCCACTGTGATAGACGCCGTACAAAACAGAATAAAAAAATCCCCATCCTCCCATGATCAGTCTTCCTCTCTCAAAAGCTAGTATTAACGTATCCTCCTAGTGAGAATGCTACAGTTTCTTCCCCCCACCCCACCCCCTGCCTTGCCCTTTAGCTGCTTGTGGAGATACAGCTGGGGAACTGGAATTCCTACTTGTAAGCAGTTGGCACACATCCCCCTCAAACAAAAATCCTGCCTGGGGTTCTGGGAGTTAAAGGAGAGCAGAAGTATAGTGTTAACGGCTGAGCTGACTTGTCTCTACTCCCACTGCTTTCCTTCCCCACCCCAGAATAGAATACCGTTTACTTCTGTTGTCTTTAAAGTCACACTCCTAGCTGCAGAACAACAGGAAACAAGTGAGTTTGAGATTTTTCTCAAAATGCCAGGCAATGCAGAAACACTGAGGATTCCACATGCAAGAGTTTTTCCTCTCTCCTGAAATCTCTGCCCCTGCTGGCAATGCTGCTGGGGGTGAGGATGGGGCTTTGGCACTGATTTATCTCCTGCAAAGGTGGTGTGTGTGACGGGTTGGATCACAGAAACCCCTGGGAGCTGCCACCTGATGTGCCCAGACTACTTCTACCCCTGCTTTCCCTGCCAGCTCAGGACTCCAGCACCCTGTCTTGCTGAGCCAGACACTCCCGTCTGCTCCAACACAGACCCAGGGTCTGAATTACTTGCCCTAAAGCTGCAGGTTTACCTGAAAGCAACTAACAGAAGTGTTCCAGTCTTTAACACTTAGATGCCCAACTCCCAATGGGGTCTAAACCCAAATAAATCCATTTTACCCTGTATAAAGCTTAACCTGGTGTCTTTCCATTGAGAAGGATGGGGTGGGAACCCAGAGAGGGACATAAAGCTTATACAGGGTATACTCCTAAATTGTTCGCCCTCTATAACACCGATAGAGAGATATGCACAGTTGTTTGCTCCCCCAGGTATTAATACATACTCTGAGTTAATTAATAAGGAAAAAGTGATTTTATTAAATACAGAAAGTAGGATTTAAGTGGTTCCAAGTAGTAACAGACAGAACAAAGTAAGTCACCGAGCAAAATAAAATAAAATGCGCAGATCTATGTTTAATCAAACTGAATACAGATAATCTCACCCTCAGAGATACTTCAGTAAGTTTTTTCCTCAGACTGGACACCTTCCAGGCCTGGGCACAATTCTTTCCTTCTTTCCCCTGGTACACCTCTTGTTCCAGCTCAGGTGGTAGCTAGGGGATTCTTCATGATGGCTCCTTCCCTTTTGTTCTGTTCCACCCCTTTATATATCTTTTGCACAAGGTGGGAATCCTTTGTCCCTCTCTGGGTTCCCACCCCATCCTTCTCAATGGAAAGACACCAGGTTAAAGATGGATTCCAGTTCAGATGACATGATAACATGTCACTGCAATACTTTATTGCCCACTTGCCAGCACACACATATACAGGAAGACTAACAGGTAAACACAGCCATCTGCAGACAATGGTCCTGGTTAATGGGAGTCATCAAGATTCCAAACCACCATTAATGGCCCACACTTTGCATAATTACAATAGGCCCTCAGCGTTGTATTTCATATTTCTAGTTTCAGATACAAGAGTGGTACATTTATACAAATAGGATAATCACACGCAGTAGATTATAAGCTTTGTAATGATACCTTACAAGAGACCTTTTGCATGAAGCATATTCCAGTTACATTATATTCACTGATTAGCATATTTTTATAAAACCATATAGACTGCAATGTCACAGTGTGATCCAGCAGTTTGAGTACAGCATCAGGACCCCCAGCATACTACTCCTGGCTGTGACATTAACTCACTTTGTAGCTTGGGGCAAGTCACTTCACTTCTTGGTCTTCATTAATACTGACTAACCTGCCTTGCTGGGATGTTATAAGGATTGGTGTTTGCTACACACCTGGAAGAAAGGGTTAAGTATTACCAAAAGGCCAAAACCCAGTTTTTACTGAGGCAGATGCCCCCTGAAGTTATTAGGAGTTTGAATAGGGCCCACAGGAAGTACAAGGGATAAACTGGTCTGCAGGAAATACAAGGGATAAACTCTCATGTATTTCCAACATCCCTTATTCTTCCTCCTCCTCCCCCTCCCTGCCTTAAAAAAAAACCTGGAAGGAGCAGAGTTAACTTCCTGGCAGTGAAGAGTCTATTAGACCATACAGCATGTACAGTGGCCCAGCTGCCCTGCTGCAGTGCTTGTGGTGGAGACAATCTAAGCTGACGGGAGACCCGTCGGCTTAGTAACTGCTGCCTCTGCAAGAGGTGGTAGCTATGTTGGTGGGAGAACCGACCCGGCACTATCCACATCAGTGCTTAGGTCGGTAATAACTTGCTCAGGGGGTGTGAATTATTCACACCCCCTGAGCAACATGAGTTGGACTGAAGTAAATCGGTAATATAGACAAAGTCTTAGATCATGGAACAGTCTCCCAAGAGAAGTGAGAGCAGCCCCAACATTTGAGACACTCTCAAGTCGCCTGGAAAAAGCACTGGAATATAAATGAAGCTAGAAAATAATCCTGCATTGTCAGGGAGCTGGGGTGGGTGAGCTAGAAGGGACCTTCCTACCTCTACTGTCTGTGTTCCTAGGAGAGCTATTTAAAAACAAATGGGCAACATTACCAATGTTAAAAAAATAAAATAAAAAATAATAATGAAAGGTTGCCAAACTCTTCTCCAGACGCTCTCTTTACACCAGCTGACTGACGCTGAGTGACAGAGCACCACTGCCTGCTTTCTCCTCCTCCCTGATGTAAAGCTGCCGACCTCAATGCCCAGCACTCCAGACAAGGGCTCTGATTTCCTAGGACCAGCCTTTCGGTCTAGCTCAGCTAGATTCAGAGTCCTTGCATGTATACACAGGTCTCCACCAGATCTTTCCCCTGCCTGTCTGCACTCCTGGCAGCACTCACTAGCTCGAATAGCTCGCGGACTCTTAACTGAGGCTCAGACAGTGCAGCAACTCATGAGCCAAATGTCCAGTCCTGCCCCCTCATGACATACTGGGCCTGAAACCTTCAGGAACTTCAGCTGTGTTCTACCCTTTGTTGAAACTCAGCATGGTGCTGCCCCCCGTGCCCCTTCCCTTGCAAGAGGATAATCGTCCCCAGGATGCAAAATGCGTTTTTCATTTAAACCAGTTAGAACACACTTGAAAGTCAAGCCACCAGTGCCTCTAGGGCTGGTGAAAAGCCATGAGTGTGATCAAACTCTTAAACTATATGAAACAAGGAAGCTACTCAAGGGGCAGATGTATGGAATGGACATGGAGCTGAATTCCCCCCCCCTCCCCTTTTTGATTCCCCTTTGTTTTTTAAATAATCTAGAAGAAGCATGATCTAGTGCAGAAGTTCTCAAACTGTGGTTCATGGACCACCACTGGTCCACAAGCTTCATTCAGGTGGTCCGCGGATAGTTCCCTCTAAGGTGCGCGCCTGGGCAGCCTCACATGAGAGAATGAAGGGCCACCCACCTAATTAGTGGAGCCGCGCAGGCATGACTCCACTAATTAGGTACCTGGACCCTGAGAAGACGCACATATAAGGTGAGGTGGTGGCCTTGGAGGGAATAGGGGGTAGGTGGGTGGGGGCAGTGGAGTGAGAAGAGGGGGTGGGGGGAATTTGAGACATGCAGGGCTGCGGCACCAGAGAAAAAGGCAACTTTCCCCAGCTCCAGGGCTGTGGCTGCCGGGGAGAGACTCCCCTCCTTCCCAGCCCCAGCTCGGGGTTGCCGTGGCAGGACGTATACCTGGAGGTTTCATCATATGACATAACCTTTAGTTGAAGATTTAGATAAAGATTCATCTTTAATTTGTGAAGACTCCAGGGCAATCCTGGAGGATTGGCAACCCTAGGCCAGGAGGCTACAGGC